ATAAGAGGAAGGCTGCAGGCATATATGAATCGCCAGATTAAAGGTTGAGGTGTGGGTAGGAGCGTAAACAACGAATGTGATAAAGAAATTTACGAGAGTTAGTTGAAAGAGGTTCAATATGCAGAGGAAATGAAAGATTTAATGACAAGGTAAAGTGAAGGTACCTGAAAGAGTATACCCCGTTGCGAGGGTGTTCGAAAATTCAGAACTAGGAGGTGTTAACAGTCGTAAAATACGGTGAACGGATTTATGATTGCTCATTAGGAGACCATTTTCCGGTGACCATACTGAGATATGGTCAAGGCAAACCTTCAGAGATAAGAGCTGTGTCCAACGTTTGAAGGGGTGTCCAACAGCCACATGATCGAATTGAAAACAGGCAGCCCTTATCTTATTCTCTTGGGGCAGAGTGGACTACAAGAGTATCGGTATCTAAAGTACTACGCATGGTTTTGCATACAAAATGTAAAGGTTCATCAGAACGGGAAGAAAATGGCTTTAAAATATTCAAGTCAACTCGTTCAGCAAGTTTTAGTAGAGTCTAAAAACTGAGGACTCTTTGTCAAGGAAAGGTTGGCACATGCAATGCGCAAAAACTGTATGAACTAAGGAGAAAGTGGGACTTTTGGGCGACGACTAGCAGCTCTCAGTCCCTAATTTGATAAAATGCGTGCAAGTTTTGTCTGTGTTAATATTCTGTTGACCGGCATAGAGCAGTGGCGTCATCGCCGATCAGGCTCGGAATTAGAATTTTTTCTTGGACTGGTGATGGGAATATTACTCGTTATTGAGTGTTTCTCTTTCGTATCCCTCAGCTGGTAGTATCACTGACTCAGTCTTATTTTCGGATGCAGTTAAAATTCAAGTTGGAACATAGTGAAAACGACAACGGGTGCATCCTAAGCACTACAATCACGCGAATAAGCCTCAGCTAACAATAAGGGTCAACAGAATGCGGGATTTATTTTATACGAAATCCTAAATTGGTGTCTCACGCAGTAGTTATCACTGACAAGGCCAGGGCAAAATAAAACCCAGCCGGAGAAAAGGAGATTTTCTGTGATGTTGTCCGTTCTGATGGGCTTTTGGTGGCGAGTCAGATGGCTTTGCGTTCAACAGATTTGTTGAGTTACATGATGCGGGGTCGCGATCGCGTGGGGACACTTGCGGGTAGGATAAGTAGCCTTGACCTAGCGGAGCATCGTTCAGAGATGACAACAGTCAGTTATAGGACTATAAGCGACCCATTCTGTCGCAGTTTAGCTGGTTACCGGTTTTCTCGATGGGCTTAGATCTGACCTTGACGAGCAGTTTTGGAAGTCGGATATTCTCCCGACCATAAGCTCAGTGTTCTGGGCAGTACCTGGAGCGTTTTCTATACTTTGCCGTTGAAGACCACTTACAATTGACGAGGGGTTGATAGGAAAAGAAGGAAAAAAAAACTTTTCTGGTTTTTGTGCGGGTCCTGAAAGACCCGGCTATTCGAAGACCGGTCCAAGTAATTTAGATTCCAAGGAAGCCAACGACCAATGATTTGTCATTATTGGTCGACAGTATTCAAAGCCTCATGGTATTGACGTTGTCAGGTGTTTTATGACTACCGGATGTAATGCGGACATTCTGTTTTACCGTGGATTTGTGGTTTGCAGCTCTAGGCGGACTAGTGACGAGCAATAAGTAATGAAAACTTTTATTGGCATGGTGATGGTGTCGTGGCTGTAACGTAACCACAACATTAATCATGGCACAGTGCTAGTGGGGCGCTCATCGATCGCGTCAGGGGATATACTCGTTCCGTTGCGCCATGAAGCTTTCTAGAGTCCCGCAAGCAGCCACCCAGCGGCTAGTGATGTAGGCAGAATGACATTGCTGACATTGCTGCGAAGACTGCGTAAATATGCAGGCACACATTAAACCACAAGTAATCTACTGGGTCAGCGCTTAGAAGAAATACAGGCTCAGAAATGCTAATCCACAGTAGGGACACAATCGCTTCAACTACGAGACACAATTTATTCCACCCACATATACGCCCCCAATGGCCCACCTCGCTAACCCCAGGAGTGATTCCACAAAAATGGCAATAAAGTCTGCAAGCTTTTTGCCGGGCAGGGCATACTATACAAAGCCTACAACTGCGAAACGCAGTCCGTTCCGCCGTCATAGATGCTCTTTACAATCATTAGATATTCGCAGTCGCCCATGCAACATTTGCAAACGCCGCTCGACATACCACCCCTCCGGAAATGCAACATACGCCGATTGGACAACCTCCTGAACATGCTTACCACAAACCTATTAAACCAGCTGTCGCCGTCCGTTTCAATCTCGTTTAGGCACGACTGGACTCAGTCAACACTAACTCCGGTTTCGCCAGTGGCTACAGCTGCTTAGGTAACGCGCAGTTCTGTGCACAATATTCATTTTTTCCTTCTGATGCCTTCTGTTTTGTGCTGTTATCCGGTACCTGGCTTAAAGGTTTTGTTGGTTAATGTAAAACAACTGCTGGGACGCCAGAGGGGTACCTGTTCTCATGTTACATCTTTAATTGTTAACCCTTGTCTTCACCTTAAACCTAACTCATCAAAACCCCAACATTAATCCTGATAGCAAACTTAACCATAATCCTAGCACTATCCCCTATCCTTGTTTACTTATGAAATGCAGGGCAAGGTCACGTACAATGCGAACAGTCAATATCCGTATGCAAAACTATAATTACCTGAAAAAGCGCGTTAGATTATTTTGCGGTAGTTTTATGAAGACGGTATTTGTTTGAACCAATAGCAATGTATTTCAGATTCAGTTTCAGTTTTTTCAGATTCAGTTTATTTGAGGGAGACATAAGTGTTGAACTTTTGAACTTCCTATTTGTTACAAAGAAGCGAATTGTATCAAAAAATTTGAAAATGGAAACATCAAACATCTACAAAAGTTTTTTTCAGATTGGCAAAGTTTTCGTAATCAGACAGATAAACGAATTATTCCAGGTGTTAAAAACATTAATGTTACTAAATGTGCTGTACAGTAGTCTGTCTATGGATAATTGGTGCTACCTCCGTTTCTAAGGGAGTCGTAAGGATAAATAAATATGCACAAGATGATATTCCTCATGATATTTCCAACGTTTTATGCAGGTTTCTAGTTGAAAGTGCAAAGAGGAAGCTGCTTTCTCACATTCCGACTATGAATAAATGACTGGGCTTGATTAATCGCCAGAGGCAGCCATGTAATTCGGTTCTTGGAACTATCTTTTGAAATATCCAAGCGTATTCTATCAAAAATGCTCTGAAACACGTACAGAGTACGCAGAACATCTGGAGCCGCCTTTCGGTCTTCGAAGCTCAACTCAAACAGAACGTAACCTGTGACGTCTCTGTATGTAAAACTAGTCAACTCTGGATTCCAAGCAGTCTTCTTTTGCCAGGGGTGCGAATCGGCAATGCGAGGCTGAAATTTGAGTGAATGCATATAAGTGGCCCGACAGAGAGAGAGTTGCAACTTTGCCAATTGCAAAGCAGTGTGGCAGAAATCAGAAAAGAAGTCAGTCAAAATGCGAATTATTTCCAACACGCAAATAATTGCAAAAGTCCTGCTGTTCTCTCCTATAAACTTATAAGTTGTTCAACATCTGAAGAAGTTTCCGACATAGATTTCTATGCTATTGTAATGAAACATAAGGGTTGCTATCTAACTAGATACAACACATAGGCTATTTTAAATGTTCGGTGTGTGAGTGCGTTAGCTTACGCGGCAGAGTCTTCAAATCGCTTTGTTATTTTTTTTAAAAAAGAACGTTGTCATGAGTTCAGTTATTGCAACACGCTCTTGCGTGTTTAAAGCTGTATGGTATGCTTAGTATGGTACTCATTCTTTCGGAAAGTATCGCCGAAATCTCAGAAAACTTTTACGATTCACTGTGTACGCAATACAACGCGCAGTAGTAAGACAAATTTTACAGTAAAAAGCAGCTTTGACATTCAGTGTTGGAGAAAACCAACTTCATCTTTGAAAACCTAGCGTTACAAAGGATATTGTATTTGTCCGCTGAAATTGAAACGTTAGGCTGACATCCAAATGTTCGTCCTTTTTCGGCAAAAATTAAATTGCCACTCCTTCTCCCACAGTTACTGTAGACGACAGGCAATTCAACTGCGGTAAGCATGCTTAGCAGTTAGTCTAGAGTGGTGATGGTATCCTTGTCTGGATGAGAGCTATCACAGCTGGCGCTCTGCCAATTGTGTGGACGCCCAAGTGCTACGTTTTATAAATAAGCAAATGATTAAAGTTCACTCAGTGGTATTTTATGGACAAAATGTGTAAAAAGCAAATTAAGCAAATAGATGACTCCACGTCGCTACGAGCTGTTGTTTTGGATAGACTCAAATAGCAATCAAATCAAACGCTGGTACTTCATGAAGGTGCATCTGTCATTAACAAAGTAAGAGGTACTTAAGTGCGAGAATACATATGAGCATTGTCTCTGCAGAATTTCCTCTTAGAATTAAAATATAGTTTAATTGCTAAAATACAAACCACGTGGTTTATGAACCGCTATTGTGAAAGTGTAACTTGTTGCCTTAGTAAATAGCGTAACCTAATGATTATTATCACTATACAATTTAACAAGATACATAAACATCTAGCGTATTGCCTTAAATGCAAAGTACTACTGTACTGTCGGAGCAATACCTAAAATCACAACTGCAAACCCCAACATATGATAAAGAGAGTGCGAATTCAAAAACACTGCCTTCCACATTGCGTAAAAGGTGCACTGAGAGCTGCTCGTAATTCATTCAATTTAAATAAACTTGGGCGAGAACCGCATTGGCAACGCTATGTGGATTCACACGAAGAATCGCACTTGTGGTGTTGTGCTAATAAGAGCACCCAATCAGGAAAGTCGAAATATTGGAGATTGACCCATATTTCCGTGGGCGTTTTAAATGTTTCATGCCGCTGACATTTGCACATCTAGAGTTCGGGAGGGCCAACAGATGAACTGCCTCGATCTTGTGTTCACCAAGTCGTCTCACAACATCGACGTTGTGAATTGCCTCCCCCCGTTGGGTCAGAGTGACCATGTAGTTCTCATGTGGGAATACACGTTATTCTCCCTTCCTGCACAACCGCTCGATTCCCGACCCAATATTTGGAGCGGCGATTTCGAACAGATGAAAAAGGATCTTAGTCCTATCGACTGGGCATTCACTCTCTCCGGCGATGTCGAAGAGGCTTGGTATCAGTTCAGAGAGGTAGTCCACAACCTCATCTCCAACCACTGCCCAATCATGCGCAAAAGACTAACAAATAGACCTCGCTGGTTGACTCCGTCCTTAAAGAAGGAAGTTAACAAGAAGAGGAAGCTATGGAAAAAATCGCTGACGGACCGCACGCCAGAATCCCTAAGCAGTTATAAGTTACAGAGAAATCGGGTCAAAATTCTCATCGCCAGAGATAGGAAAGCTTTTGAAAAGAATCTTTTGAACCGTGCCATGATTAATCCAAAAATCCTTTACAGCTACATAAGACAGAGCACACGGAACAAAGATCCTGTCCCACTGCTGCGAACGGCTGAGGGTGTGGAAATCTCAGATGACAAGGATAAGACTGAACATCTCTCTCAGTTCTTCCGGTCAGTCGTGACAAGTGAACCTGCTTTTTCCTCACCCGCTTATGAAGACGATGAAACACCTACCCTCGAAGCCGTCTTCTTCACCGAAACAATTGTTCGGAATGAGTTACTAAACCTAAAAGAATCGACCTCCCCAGGCCCTGATGCAATCCCGGCCAAGCTGCTGAAGGAACTAGCTTCCGAAATGTCCAAGCCGTTAGCCTTGATCTTTCAAACGTCATTTTTACTGGATGCCTGCCCTCTGACTGGAAGTCCGCTACCATCACTCCGCTTTTTAAGGGTGGAAGTCGTGCGTCTGCGAATAACTACAGAACAGTGAGTCTTACCTCCATCTGTTGCAAAATCATGGAGAAGATCACTAAGAAGGCCTTGGTGCAGTTCCTCGAGCAGCACCATCTCCTTTCCGATGCCCAACACGGCTTTCGAAGTGGTAGGTCCTGCCTCACGAATCTGCTCTTTACGCTCGAACGCTGGACCAAAGCACTTGATGAAGGCAAGGTGGTGCACGCCATCTACATCGACTTCAAAAAGGCTTTCGACAGCGTTCCTCATCAACGTCTCTTGTACAAACTGCGCAACGCTGGAATTCGTGGACGCCTTCTTGTATGGATCCAGAGCTTTTTGGCTGGACAGTCCCACAGAGTGCAGGTCGGGCGTCAACAGTCCTCAGATGTAAGCGTGGTGAGTGGCGTCCCACAGGGCTCAGTCTTAGGTCCCACGTTATTTCTCGTTTTCATAAATGACTGCGTCAAGGACCTAGACTGTGATGCCATCCTGTTTGCCGACGACATAAAATTGTGCAAAGTTATTCACGATACGGCAGACGCAGACCACCTGCAAGCAAACTTGAACAGGCTCGAAGACTGGTCGAAGCGCTGGCTTATGCCCTTCAATATAAGCAAGTGTAACTTTCTTCAACTCGGCGGCTTCAGACCCCCCAGCTCCAGGACCTACTTTCTACACGGCATACCACTGCAACAGGTTGACAGTCAGAAGGACCTGGGTGTATGGATTACATCGTCACTCAAACCAACACTGCACTGCGCGAAGGCGGCTAAATTGGCTACGGCCACATTGCAACTCATTAGGCGAGCATTTATGGGATTTGACCCTGACTGCTTTTCCAAAATATTTGGCACCTTCGTGCGATCTCATCTAGAATACGCCATACAGGCGTGGAGACCCTGGACTGCCAAGGATTATACCGTCTTGGAGAATGTCCAGAGACGGGCGACCAAAATGACACACGGTCTGGAAGCACTGCCCTATGAAACCAGACTGTCAATCCTCAACCTGTTTCCCCTTTCCTACAGGCAATTACGTGGTGACCTTATACTAACATTTCGCATCATCAACGGCCTAGACTGTTGTTTAGGTTCCACTGATTATTTCACCCAAGCTAACACGCCCACTTTGCGTGGTCATCCCCTAAAACTACGCGCAGGGAAATCAAGAACCAATGGACGAAAGTCCTTTTTCAGTAACAGAGTGGTTGCAGCCTGGAATGCCCTGCCTACCGATGTTGTAACCTCCTCCTGTGTGAACTCCTTCAAGTGTAGACTTGACCTGCATCAAGCTTCCCGATTACCACCCCCACATCCACTCACATAACCCGGTACCATCTTATGCGTGTTTATACTACTTGTAATTAGTAAGTAACCATTAATGATTACTCTTTTTCGACTAGCTGCCAGCTGTCCGCGAGTATGTACAAAATCCCTTTTTCACCATCTCATTTATCAATGTTTTTCTCCGACGACTTGTAACCAAGAGGGAATTCAAAGGCGCTTGCCTATATTTCCCTTAACAAACTGATACTGATACTGATTATAAGAAAATTAAAGCAAAACTTTAAAACCGATATACACCATTTTTGAAGTGCTACTAACCGAGTACAGTAAACACATGTCGCGCACACGGACACCGAAAATCGATTGATCAAATATATACTAATTAAGCAGCTATTGTTGCCGAGTGAGATTTATGCTGGCGCCCGAAGGGGGGCGCACTCAAAAGTTGGCCTCCTACCGTAATTGAGATACTTTATAATTATTCTCCAAGATAGTCATTATTGCGAACTACTAGTACCTTACAATATTACCTCAGGAGGCCACAAATTATCCTTTGAGGCTCCACCGTATAAACAGCGTTTCTTAGCTCCTTCGCACATAACAAAGATGGGACGTTTAGGGGCCTGTCTAGGTCATAAGCTCAGATCAAAGATTTCTCCAACCTTCAGCAAAATAGCCGGCATCTGAAGTGTCAAAGAGTTAAAAAGTTGTCTGTCAGATCTTTTTGATCCTAGGGTCAAATACGCGACTAACTGGCGTGGGGAATGAATTTTTTTCAGAATCTGGCGGTTGATCTGAGACATGCAGCGTGCCCCTTAAAAAATCGATCACGTTCTGCTCAATATTTTTACTTAGATATGTGTTGTCACAAATGAGCAATATTCAACAAATGAGACTATTATTTACGTGTTCTGGCTGTTAGAAATTCGGAAATTAAATTTCCTTTAGTCCTGCAGTCAATCTCTTTGAAGAAGTTATATAACCAAACAAAAATGATAGTCTTTTTTAAAACACACGTTTTACTGTCTATTTCTAAATCGCCGGCATAGGTTTGCCTAACTACGATATGGTTAGTAAGGACGAGACTAGAAGTTTTGTGTCACGCCATGGTGAAGGAGAGCAGTCAAAATGGACGTCCGTCTCTCCGGATATGCACACAAACAATCCTTGTCGCTACTCATTTGGCGCGTTGACCAGCGTAGTTAGATATGATGAGATGAACTTTTACCCTACAGCGATCACGTTCTCGTTGCTTTTAAAAATTAATTATCATAAACTGCGACTTCATATCCTTCTGTTTAGACAGTAGAGCGAGCACTGTAGGCAATATATTAGGATGCAGTTGTATATAATTTGTTCCTTTTGTGTGGCTTTGATATACAGCAAGTTCGCTACCTTCAAAAATGCCTTAGCAGCCTTGGCTTACCGAAGGTCTTATCTTACAAGCCAGCGAATTTGGTGAAATCAGCGGAAATGCAACACGAAAAAAACATGGCCCGTGTGCTTCTACACCAGACTTCCACGCCAGAGTGCACTAGTACAGAGGTGTTTCCAGGCATTCGATAATCAGGTGCTCCGATCACTTTAACGAATTTAGAGAAACATTACCAGATGAACCAATCAGATAAAAAAACGAGACAGCAGTTAGTCGAGGTTTTGACAACAAATCGAGGGCCGTTCGGTGTGGATGACGCTCGCGAACGCAGTGATGATGTGCCGACCCAAAGGAACATATCGTAGTCACTCAATCTGAGCTATCAGTTTACGTATGGGTGACTTGTTTTCGAACCTGGGCTGAACATTCAAGTGCGCACAAGATGTAAGAAGAGGGGCTCTTGGCCTCGGCTACACCAGCCGTCGCTTGCTACACTGCTATTCTCTTGCACTGATGAGTCTTGGTTGCGGAGACAGTAGAAACGGCTACAAATACTGCACATACGTCTGACCGCACCATTTTGCCAAATGAAGTGGGCTCTAAATTGAATAACTGGAGTTCTTCTGTAGAGGCTATATTGTTTGCAACGTTGCCACTAATTGTTGTCTCTGCATAACTTTCCACGGAATAGAATGATTGCTACGTGCAAGTATATTGTCTCTGGTGTTGTAACCGACGTGATATAATTCAAGTATTCGAGCGTGATACCAGACACTACGCCTCATCCATCGTCCATTTCGCTTCTATGAACGCAGCACAATTCGGTTTCTGAGACAGAATTTAAGGCCAAACCTTAGATAGTTTTGAGCTTTATCGTATTTGCTTCATGTCAGCAGTTAAAACTGGCGAACTACTCATACAAAGCAGAGCAAACCAAACGGTGAATCGACTCGGACACGCCTATGCCGTGAAACACCTGGAATCGTTTATTTGATCTAGTGCAGTAGCAAGCAATGAAAATATGTAGGAAAAACTAAACGTTTGGTCCGGACATAACTGACCGAACACGAGGAAGCTTTGCGGAGAAGTGGCGCCTACTTTCTTTCGGTGAGACGCAGTCACACATTTAGGTCTAATATGCCTTTTAATTGCCTATAAGCCTAGGGGTTGAATTGATTAGTATCAACAGATTGATTTTAATTTCTCGTAGAGTAAAATTCTCACGTCTCTCTGAATTGTTTCCTGGAAATCTTTCTTGCGGAGGGCACAATGGTGCTCCCTTTATTACTGAGTTTGTGGCATTAACTTCAATGAAGGGCAGCTAGCGCTTCGTCTCTTCCTCAGTTGCAAACTAGACGTCTTAACTTTATTACCTGATGTGTCTTGAATGGGTGGCAACACAACTTAAGCTATTATGACGAACGAACAGTCTGTTCAATTGTGTCGGATTAAACGTTTCCGCTTGGGTAGGAACAGTTACCCAACCAGAGAACTGTTAGGAAACGCACAGAAAATCTCGGGATTTTGAGGCATAATACTTAATAAAACTGACTAAGCCAACTGACCTAGTTAGCTCACGATCATGGTGTTGAAGGGATGGTGCAAAGTTGTTCCAAGATTTGATTGCACTGCGTTAAAACAGCTAAGACAAATTTTGGGGTAATGGTTTCTAGGTTAACAGCAAGATGAGCTTCAACCAAGTCTCATTTTCTAATAAAAGGATCGATTCATACACATGCAGTATGCCTAAGCCATTTGCCTCAAAGTTACAGGATTCAGCCGAATGTACGAATTACAGCAGCACTGTTGTGAAAGGTGGCCTGATTAGTAAATTTCAATTTCTTTTAGTGCTTTGTGTCCCCGAAATATTTTTCTCCTATTAAAACTTTCATTGATGTCGCGTTGAATTAATTTCGTGATGTCGGGAAATGTTAAATCCGTTACGCGCAACGTACTTTGTCGGGCACTGTCTTATAGATAGTTCACAGTCACCTTTGCCTGCACACGTCTCATGGTATAATGTAGGGCGTTTCCTCAGTATTTTCAATATTTGAAACACGCAGTCGTTTTAGAAGTTAAAGAAAACTTTCTGTTCAGTATGATTAAATTTAAAGGACTAATAAATGTTGCAAGCAGAATTAGTCAAAGTCTCCACAGTATACCATTGTCGTTTGTTAATGGTAGCGTATATGAAAAGAACATTTCTGACCCTTACAACTAAATAAATGGAATGATGTGGGACCTCAACAAGACACTGGATTGGCAAAATGTATTCTTCCTAGAAATTCTGTAATTCATTGCATTCCGTAGCTAAAACGACGGCGAACCTTTCTACACGAAGTGCAACCTGTTGAAGTAATTTTCGGTTTCGTTTAAACCGAAGTGAAACTATTCAATTTAAACTGTCTTATACAAAGTCAGAAAGCAGTATGATGTTATCCACTTTTGGATCTTGATGTCTCTCTATATGTGACGAAAAGAAAAAGAGGTTTGATGTCACTGGACATTTCAACGAACCCCAGACAGCAAAACTGACATAGATATTAACAGGCCTTTGATATTAGCACTGCCTGTTCGGGTTTGGGGACAATCAGGCAGATGCCATTGGCATCCACCAGCCATTCTGGACAAAGTGCATATATGCGTTCTGTCCTGTATCCAGCGTTCAGGCCACGACAAGATTTCCAAAAATGGCAAGAGTCTAGGCGTAAACAACGCTGCTATGTTTATTGTTTCTTACTTGTTAAAAAACCGACAAAAATGACACCTTTCTGCATGAAAGCGCTCTTTCCTTCGGGTCGAAGCACTTTGTCTCATTCAAAAAGTTAGCTATCGTTAGCATTGAAGCAATCAGTATATCTGCGACATAATTGACGAAACGATGATTAACGGAGTAGGCATTATGTACGAATTTAATGTCTGGACTATTCTGGTAAACGAGGTCAAGCCAGCTCAAACAGGCCCTGTCTTTTCAAATTATGTCGAGATTCCGGAAAACAAGGTAGTTTGTTGCCTAGCTTTATCTAGTTAATATCCTTAATGTTTTGAATATTTTAGTGCACAGCTACTGAAATGCGACGTCAGCATTCATGTCAAATCACCGGTGCAAGTTGTCTGCCAGTGTAAATGAATAGAGGTCGCTCAAGTTGAACTGTTCTATGCATTCCAAAACATTAAACCTGTTTCAGATTGCAAAGGTACATGTATTCTAGACAATTCAGGTAACCCTGAAAAAAACCAGCATACTGGGCAAGTCCTTTGCAACATAAAGGCATTACAAATTTATAAAAACATTCAACAGTGCTGGGGGACAAAATGTGCTTAATGTTTATAAGAGAAAATTTGACAGCACAGGGATATTTTGAATTTTGATAGTCTAGGGCATTCGCAAGCAATTCGAGTAAGTTTGCGATAACTTCGGTGGGCCCAGACAGCGAAATGAATTGTGGGCCAACGGAAGAAATTTAGGCAGGCATGGACGCAGACTGCGAAGGCAAGCATAGATTGTGCCAACAATCGCATAGTGTGCTTGATTCAACAGTTACCCTCCAATTAGATGCGGACTATACAACATTCAACAGCATACAAATGACAGTCTACTATTCTGCACAATTTACATTCTACAAATAGACTTGTTCGCGCGCTGTCTTTACTCGGCCACCTTC